TGGCTCAAGTGGTAGAGCGCTAGCCTTGAGCTGAAGAGCTGAGGGACAGTGCCCAAGCCCAGAGTTCAGGCCCCATGACCGGACCCAAAAAAAAAAAACAAAAACAAAAACAAAAAAAAAAAAAGAATCTCATGAGGACTTCTGCCTGGGCTGGCTTCAAACTGCGATTCTCAGCTCTCAGCCTCCTCAGTAGTTAGGATTACAGGCTTGAGCCACAAGTGCCTGGCGAGCTTTTTCAAGTCCACATACCACCTTACACCTCCCAGTGAAGAATCCCTACTAGTGGGAAAAAACCTGTTTTTAAGTCAGTTGAGATGAGAAACAAGAAGATCCACTGGGCCATCACTATATATACCACTGTAGTAACTTCTGGATTTTACTGCTGTTGCAGGCAAAGCTGGATGGTGGAAGACAGCAATGGAGGCCTGTCCTCATGGCTGTGACTGAGAAGGACTTGCTGCTTTATGACTGTATGCCGTGGACAAGAGACGCCTGGGCATCGCCATGCCATAGCTACCCTCTTGTTGCCACAAGGTAGGACTAAAGGGGAGAATATACTCAAATCTCAAGAATTGTAAAGTGAATTCCATCTTCACTGCCAAAAATAGCATTTCAGTCACTGAGGTAGACAAAACCTTTCACAGCTCTTGACGATTTTGCAGCTCTAGTTTAGAATGAATTGTTTCTGACACTAGTTTTTCATGTGTGCTTTTTAAATTTTGAAGCAGCTTCCTAACCATTGCCTTCAAGACTTGCTTAGTCATGGAGATAATGGGCTTTTTTCCCTTCCTCTATTTTATTGACCATGACTAGAAAACCACTGAAATTGTAGTTTCTAGTTACAGTTGTGACTGAATGGTGAAATTACTTAAACCAGAATGTGGTACTGAGGATAAACCACACAATATAGCCAAGATATTCTCTCATTTCTCTAAAATAAATGCAGATAATTTTGATTCTGCCAAATAAACATTTATTTGACCCGAAGTAATAGAATGTTTCTAGCATGCCAGATGTGGGCAAATTAGAAGGGTAAAGAATAAATATAGATTTAGAGGGGCCAGGGTACTCAAGTGATAATAAATGTAAGACTAGAAAACATAGTCAAATTAGATTTTATGGAGACTTTAAAAAAAATCAGCCAGGCATAGTGGCATATGCCTGTAATCCTAGCACTTGAGAGGCTAATGCCAAAGGATTGTAAGTTCAAGTCCAGTTGGGGGGTACATAGTGAGCTTGAGGCTAGTCTAAACTAGCCTCAAGGAAGACTCTGTCTCAGACAGAGAGAGAGATTGGGGATGAAAAAGGGAGGGAAAGAGGGTCACAGAAGCTACACATTAACAAAGAACAGCCCTAGACAGATGTTAGATCACTTTGTACAAGGCCCTAAATTTACCCACCAATACCACACAAAAACAAAAATAAATGATACAGCCAGGCGCTGGTGGCTCACGCCTGTAATCCTAGCTACTCGGGAGGCTGAGATCTGAGGATCGTGGTTCAAAGCCAGCCCGGGCAGGAAACACCATGAGACTCCTATCTCCAATAAACCACCAGAAAACCGGAAGTGGCGCTGTAGCTCAAGTGGTATAGTGCTCGCCTTGAGCTGAAGAGCTGAGGGACAGTGCCCAGGCCCAGAGTTCAAGCCCCACGACCTACCAAAAAAAAAAAAAAGATACTTATGTAAGAAGAACTAGAAATACAGTAATTAACAAACTAGAAATGTAAAA